AACATGATGTGCAGAGCGGACGGAAAGGAGAACGGGTTGTCACGGCGACACTCTTCCTCTGTGTGGTGGCTGTCTGTCAGAGTGAAGCAGGACAGATAAAGAACACATGCAATGATAAAGATGTGTAATAGATACAGCTGTAAGCAGCACTAAGCTGTGACGTCCCGACCAGTGGGAGCTCTGGGGTTCCAGCTTCCATCCCGCTCTGATAGTTTGCTCTGTGAGCAGTGCATAAACCAGTGTGGGCTGATGTATCACCTCTGATCATACAGTAACAAGCTCTGATCTAATGGAAAGATGCTGCCGCCTGAATCTGCAAACAAATCATACGTTCAAACTGCTCTGTGTCAAACTCTGCCTCTGGTTATTTCCACCACATTGGCCAGATAAATCAAACAATAACAAGTGTGACATGCCTCTTCCAGGCATTTATCATGCCGACTACATATACCTGGTCAAAAAAGACCAAAAAAATGAATTGTGAATGTGTATAAACAGTTGTACAAAAATAAGGTGTGTTGATATTTTTCTTAATTTCTGTATGAAATGTTTCAACAAATTTCATTTGAATGAATCAGTCATAATCAGCATAGATCATCAATTCATAATCTATGCTGAGGTTGTAGCAATCTGAACCTGTTGTGTTCAAAGATCGGAATAAACATCAATAGTTTTATTAGTGACGGGTAAGAAACTAGTTTATTCTCCATGGAGTCAAAGCTGTCATCTCTGATAGTAAGATGAGTCCAGGTGTTACTATTTCTCAGAACTGGTGCTGCTGGTGCAGCTTCATTTTACAGGAAGCCAATGGGTAAAAACAATCATACAGCTGCTTCTGATTGGCTGAGGGAGAATAATAAACCAACCAGCAGCGGACTGGTTGGTTTATCACCCACACACAGCAAACACACATAATCAACGAGGCACACAGAGAAAAACTTAGAAAAACATTCAAGGTAATGTTTTTCTAAGTGTTGCATTCAAAGAGATAAAAAGCAAATGAAATGTAATGAATGCTCTGGAACAATGAGATTCTTTATTACAATCAGTAACTATTCTTAGTAATTAGCTATTTTGGTCATTTCTTCAGGAAGTACCAACTGTAACTAACTATGTTTTAAAAGTAACCCACACAGTACTGGTGGTGTTGAAGCAATTGCATCAAAAAACTTGGATGACACCAGCGACTGGACCAGAAAATTATTGTGCTCTTCGTTTTAATTATTGTTAGGAAAAAACTTTTCGATCAAAACTAAACTCTTCATTCCTTCTGTAGCTCTCACCAGGATGTTTTTCATATGGAGATATTTCAGCAAACATATTCACATGCTGTATTTTAAAGAACATGTTGCAATGTTATTCATGTTCTATGTCATATTGTAAAGTTATTTCCTCATCAAAAACATACCTGGAGTTTTCCTTGGATTCTCTCATGCATGTTTAAGCAATTTTTTTTGTCTCACATGGCAACCATATCGGGTGCCTAAATTCTTGCTCTCATCAAGAGAGGGCAAATTTACACACATTTGCATTAAGTGGAAATATTGAAGAAATATCTCAAGACCTCAGCCTCAGGCTGAATCTTGGTCAGCAAAGTGACCTGAAGCTTCCCACCAAATTAGCAACAAAGTGGCATTAGAAGATGAGAGTCAATGTTTTAGAACTGCCATCACTTAGACCTGACCTCCATGCTGAAGAAACTGCACTGGCAGAGCTGAACATTTTAAAACTGCGTCCTCTGTTCAGCCATGTTTCTTTCCCAGGTGAAGCCACTAGATGAGCCACTGTTGCCATTAACTGTTTACTTTTTCTGTAGCATAGGAAATCCTAATGGATCAGTCCTGTGTTGTGTCTGTGTGTGTGTGTCTGTCTTGTCAGAATACACAAACATTTAGAGAGCAATAACTTAAAATGGAGAAAGCAATATATGCACATTTACAAAGAGGATAAGATATTGAGCCAAACACACATACATACACACCCCCGCACACACACCTACACACGCACACACACACACACTTCCAGATTCTAGCAGTTGTGGTATCGCATAAACCTGGCTGTGATCTTTAAAGCTCAGCCTTTGGGCTGTATGTTAAATAGATAAAGAGAGGAGCATGTTAGGAATTAAAGCTGCAAGAAACACACAGACGCACACAAACCCCAGGGAGTGAACCACGATAACCCAGTCATTATCATACTTTCGTAATTCCATTTAATAACCCAGCTTAGCTGCAGTAAGAGCTGCATGTTGAGGAATAATTGAAGTCTTGTTTGGTGTAAAATCTGAAGCTGAATTAAGAAGAATTACTAGGCTAATGTAAAAGTATAAAATAATTATGAAGAATAATTTGATATCTGACAAGTAAATTGTAGGAAATTATTCAAATGACAAATGTGTGTGAAAAAGATTTATCGAATTGTAAAGTTTTACAGGTCTATGTTTTAGAAGATGACATTATGAAGTAAATATCACTGGACAACAAAACTGATAAAAGTATATTTGCTCCTCCTCCATCTTCACAGTTAGTGAATAAAAGTATTTGTTTACCAGAGCTTTTCAAATTAATTCTCAATAAAACATTTGGGGTATTAAGTCAATGCTCAAAGTAAAATAAATAAGATACTTTTAAATTGAATATACCACCCATAGTGGTATTTTTTTTAATATTACAATACTGATATTAGATATTTATTTTTAATATAAAATTTTAATACTAAAAATGTTAAAAGTTACATTAATTCTGAGTTGCATGAGCATTATAATTTGTAAATAAAAGGTATTGAGGGCAACAGGCAGATCCAGTGCAATTGGTTCACATCTCCTTTCGCCAAGTTCAATGCATCAAATGTAGACCTAGCTTAATATAACTGGTGTGTAAAAATACCTGTTTTAAAATAAGCAAGGCGGGCAAGTAAAGCCTGTTGGCCCAAAAGAAAACCTGCATACATATGAGTGTTAGATACAAACAAGTTCAAATGGATAAGACAAGATTCAGGTTAAGTTCTACTTGGACTTTTGTTGCAAAATTAAAGTACATTTCATTTTAATGTTATCATTTTGCAAGCTACTTTTTGGTAGTTTGGGATCAATATCCTTTTGCATTAGTACATTTCCACTATTAAATTCAAGCCAATTGTGAGGAGTTCATTGATGTTTAAGTTACTGCAACTTACAAAGTTACATTTAAACAAGTTCATACCATCGATCCTTCACCACAGTGCTTGAAGAAACCATGAAGTTTGTTCATGTTGCAGCATCCTTTTTTGGAAAGGATTTTAACAAATTCAAAATGTGATGCACAAGCAACATCCATGAAGAACAGTGAAACACAATGAAGCAGCTTCTCTCGGTTCACTGGGGGTTCAAAAACCGAAATGACGGGAAACTGGAAAAGACTATTGTGTCACGTTATGTGAAAGGAGTTAGAAAAGCTTTTCAAGCTTAAAATAGCATCTCAAAGTTAAACATGTAGCAGCAGCACAGACGACCCAAACGCTAAAGGGACGTCTGTTACCATTCATGGAACGTTTTTTAAGACGTTTCATGAATGATCAGAGTTTCCTGAAACTATGTGAAGCTGAAATGATAAAATAAAACTTTGCTCCAGTCTGAAGATGGAAGAACCTTCAGACTCAAATGATTGAACTTATATTCAATTATTTAACAATAAAGCAACCGAGAGGGTTTTGGAATTAAAAATTTTCCTTGTTTTGTTCATAAAATGTATTTAATCAATTACAGACCCTACAATTAATGCAATTAAACATTTTAATCAAATACCTTCACATTTATTTATATATATATTCAGGGTTTTGTTGTGTCTTGTGTTTAAGCTTAAGTTTAAACTGGCACAATGATTTTGGTGTAAATGTTTTTATATGTTTCTGTAAGTCTACTTTATTAAGTGATAATAAACACTTTCTAATAGTAACAATTCTGTAAGAATTCAGCTCCACTAAGAGAAATTCTGAGGTATTTGGAAATTTGAAAAATAAGAAACAACCTTCAGAACTTATAAAAAGTTATGAACTTTGCAGATGATAAAGAGAGCTGCTTCTAATGAGGCTCACATTCCTCCTGATTTAAGCAGAGTGCCTCTACACTCAACATTCTGATCAGTATATTGATCAAAAATATATTTCCAGATGACCTATAGGAAACATGATGCAGATATACTAATATTGGAATGCATTTAACCAGGTGTGTTTTTCTTTAAATTGAAGGCATTCTACCTGCCCCATGATTTGGAGTCAAAATCAGGGGGGCAACATCTGGGGGTCCAAAAACACTGGTGAGGTTTGAACCCCCAGTGAACCGAGAGAAGCTGCTTCATTGTGTTTCACTGTTCTTTATGAATGTTGCTTGTGCATCACATTTACAGTTAAAGTGCTTCATAAGTAATAGACCACACAAATGTTTAAATGTTTATCTCTATACTGTGAGGTGGTGGAAATAACAGTAACAGTCTCTTGTCATTGCATAGAACTGATCTCAGGAGCTGTGATACAACAAACCCTGTAAACTTCACCTGTATATGGAGCAAATCCTTAAGCAAAAACAGACCCATTCATAAGACAGGTAGACCAAAATAGCAAATATCAGTCATTACAAATGCATTTTGTTTCATTTTACAAAGGTAAAATATTTTCAGCTGAGAATACAATGAATTTTTCTTGCATGTTACTGCTTATAAAGTGCAGTGAAGGACACATTACAGTGGTTATGATGTTGCTTTGTAATACTGACAAACATCGTCATTCATACGAAAAGTATCTTCAACAAACTGAACTGAAAGGCTCTAATCCTTCAAATAAACACAAAACACAAGTATTTTATGTGAAATAAAACCAACCCAAACAGTTGCCTATAGTATGGTAAACCATATTTTTAAAAGGATTGTAAAGTTATTGTAAATTAAGGTGGAATTTGTGTATTTACTACATATGGTAAGTGGGGTTACAGTACTTGAAGGAATTTGTAAGCATTGAATAATTCCTACCTGTAATATGTGGCTACCCAGGTGAGGTTCGAAGATCTCAGAGGCAACGGCACTGGGACTCCTCCTCCGCTGAGTACCGATAGCTAAACGAACGAGTTCACACACAACAAGAGAGAAAGCACAGGACAGGACAGAAGGAGACTGGTGAGACTCAGACACATTGATACAAGCAAAGCTACATCCACACACAAATATGTGTCCTCACACACAAACACACACACACACACACACACCCACACACATTTATACAGCCTAGCATGACAAACACACATGGCACAAGACAAAAGGAACCAGTGAGGTCATCTCTGAACAACCTAACATTGCTTGAAAGATGAACACTATTAGCTGTTCTCACTGTGATATTGTGGCTCACATTAATGAGGTGATTAAGATAACCAGCAAGAGAAACATATGAATAAACTTATGACATATGTGTGAAAGGAAACAAGGAGAGCTGTTAAATGCAGAGGGAAATACGTTTCATATTTTGGACAGCTTAAAAACTGACCTTTAAAGGTTTATAACGACAAAGACATAAAAATGTTTTGTGTGGAAGTATCTTTCTGGTGTCCCAACCTAACCGACTAAAGCATTAAAACACTGCTCTTTAAACAACTCTTTATTGCTTGCTTTCATAGTAGTCAGAAGAAATGTATTAGGGAGACCCAATGTTCTTAAAAGCCACTTTGTAATTCCTGTTTTATCAGCACATTCAAACCAAAAACAGAATTGCAACAACATATCACAATTAAGTGCAATTTCATTCAACATACTTAGTCTTTCATTTGAAGGAAAAATGAAAGGGACATGGATAACGCTTTATAGTTTTTAAAATTTGATCCTGAGGCCAGAAAAACAGGAAGTTCAACAGTCAAGAAGGGGTCATGACCATGTGAACAATCTGCCCTCTGGTAAAACTCTTCTTTCTTAAAGATCACAAAATGGACACAAGTGGAAAGCACAAGAATTATGCTAACAGGTAAACCGTTTCAAATGTACATCTGAGTCTCAGACTTAAAGTGATTACAGAACAAAAGCAGCAGATTAAAGGCACCGAGTTACATTGATGTTTGTTTACTGGAATGCCCTTTGGAAGCGCTTAAAGCCAAGTCCACCCTCAGGCCTTTATTTGGCTGCCAGACTTTTAACATCTCTTTGGAGGGGAGCATCAAAAGAAAACTAAACTAAACTAAAATAATTAATGTATAGAAATAGAACTAACAAAAGTTGAGCCTGATGAGAGGAGCAAAACAAGGTGCAATAAGAGAACACAAGGAATGCTTTTGGACCTTCCTTAAAAATCAGGAAGACAATTCAAGCAACAAACAAACAGAAGAGAATTTTTTCTGCCCCGAGGTCATTTTCCACTTGGCGCAATTTCCATTCACATCGTCTCCCTGCAGATCTCATTACACTGCATTTAAAACACTGACATAAATGCCAGGAAAACATTTTTAGTAGAGGTGAGTAGTATGTTAATGAAGCAGAATAATGTTGAATTAAGGCACAATCAAGCCACTTTGAATAAAAACAGAAAAAATAAAAACCTCAATAGTCAATAAAGTTGGTGAGGCCAAACTAAAGAGCTCAACATGTAGCATATCTAATAATCCAGAATGAAAAACTTCACGGTAATTATTTCAAATGCTCAAGTGATGATGATAGTAAGCAGTAAGAAAAGCCAGAGGAGGACAAAAAAAATCAAAAATGAAAATAAAGCAGATGATGTTGGAAAAATGCCTGGAGCAGCAGCTGCTGCCATGATGCACAAAGTAAAGAACAACAACTTGTAGCCCTGACCCTTCTCTCAAGTTCTTCATTGAAAATAAAAAGTCTGAAAAAATGTAGAAATTACAGCCCTTTCCCTTGTACCCAGTAGACCTACATTCGCCCTCTGATGGCAATCAAATATTTGTAAAAACAAATTCTAAAAAAAGAAATTCAAACCTATCTATCTATGCACCATAATGATTGTGCTTTTCATGATGAAACAGAAAATGGAATGGTGAAGTGACTTATTAAGGGTGAAGTAAAGTTGGATTACAGACTAAACTTAATGATGTACTTAGAATTATAACTCAAACAGTCAAAGAAAATGCTAAGCTAACGGGGTTAACGCCTTGACTGTATTAGATGAGTTCTGAAGTGAAAGGCAAGGAATACAAGTAAACAGATGTTTTGCAGGAAGCAGTGATGAACCGTGGTGAAGAAAAGTTCTTAGGATGACCAGCAGATAGCATGAATGATCAAGATGACAGAAGTTAGTGAAGAAAACTCAGATGTCACCATGTAGTGAAAGGAGAAAAAGGGTAAAAATTATCTTCAAAAGTGTCAAAACTCTATTTTAGTGTTTGAGTAAAACTGCAACTTGTCATTTGTCATTGTGTCAAAGTGGATCTAGAAGGTAATCTCAAGAGTATAGACAAAGAAAGATAGGCAAAATTACATGAATGTAGAAAAGATTATTTATTGGAATAAGATAATGTTAAAGCAACTGGGAAAGAAAAAGTAGATGACTTTTCAAAATGTGACTGTATTTGTTTAACTTTGTTGTGCTGATGAGACCATAGAAACAAATACCAAGCCACAATTGAAGAAATCTCTAAAACAGCATACATAATAAAAGTAAAGCAAAGTAAAAGTGCAGCAAATACAACAAATTCAATATTGTTCAGAAAGCAACTAAATCAAAACCGGGTCAGAAACAAAGAGTACATGCAAATGAACAAAAGTCTGCATTGTATACTTGCAAACTCAGAAAGGCAAAGACAGCAACATAGTGATGGATTTCAATAACAAGATTCAAATCCACCACAACAGAAAGACCATAAACTATATCAAAGTAATGAGTTAAAAGTAACCAGACCATCACATGGAAACAGCAGAACATTTAGGTACAGTCACACATTGCTGCACAGCACTTCAACCATGGACAGATAAATATTGTGGCCCAAGAATTAATATTATAAAACATTTAACACCACCTAAGTCTGAGGAAGTACAACAGAGTTTTAAGACACCATGGCAAAAAAGGAAGAAAATTGCAAGCCAGGAAACAGTCTTCTCCACTGCTCTAGAGTAAAAAAGACCAATAAAAATGCAACAACCAGTTCAAGCAGAGGCTCAAGAGACTGTTATGCTATGGCTCACAGCTCTGGTTACCTGCCTACAGAGGAAAACCAGAAGCCAGGAGTAGAAGTATGCACAATTTCAAGTCTATTTGATAGGGTCATAATACATATTAAAGTAGACACTCAAGTGTGTCTCCTGTGTTCTGAATAAAGGTTTACGAGAAGGAGGACCAGACAGTTGACCACAACTGTCAGGTTGTGGGGGATTTTGTTCGCACATCAAATAGCAAACACTGATTCAAGAATTAAGAGCTGGACTAGTGAGGTTAGGATTAGAAAAAAAATGTCTGGGGTAGGCATAAAGGTAGTCATTAAAATTAATGGAAGTCAATACAAAGTCTTCAATTTGTATAGAAGAACAAGTGTGTACCTGTGTGTGTGTGTGTGTGGGGTGTGTGTGTGTGTGTGTGTGTGTGTGTGTGTGTGTGTGTGTGTGTGTGTGTGTGTTTGTGCATGGGTGGGTGTGTACACTCATCCTTGCTGCCTTTTCATTTGGTAGAGTGCCAGCTGGTAAGTGTTAAAGTCAAGGACGAGAGAGGACAGAGATTGAGGCAAAGCAGCGCAGAGACAACAGGGTGGAAGAAAAATGACCACAATGGCCTAACATTGAGATGGAATAGGAAAAGGTCAGAAGGAAGATTCACATGTAATGTCTTGTAACTTTTGTTTTATGCTGTTGCCTATGATTCCTAAGTCTCCCTTGAAAAAGAGTTATTTAATCACAAAGATCCCAACAGCCTACACAGCCAAAAAAATAATAATCTGGATTGGGGCAAAATGTTACAATTTTGTTCCAGAGCCACAAAATTGTGCCTCTGGAACATGGGTGCCCAAAGTGGGTCCTAGAGGGCCGGCATCCTGCAGGTTTCAGTTCTCTCTCTGGTGGTAGCAGACCTTCACAGCACCTCAATGTTCTTCTTAGGCCTTTTAAAGAGCCATCATTTGATCCAGTTATGTTAAACCAGGGACAGAACTACGACATGCAGGATGCCGTCCCCTGAGGACCAACTTTAGACACCACTGCTCTAGAACAAGGGATTAAAGAACAAAGAACAAAGGACACAAAAAGAAGTTGTAACAGGTATTTCAGTGGACCCCTGAATTTCACAAGGGTTAGGGTCCACAACAGACCACGAAAAGCTGAAATCTGTGACAACTTGAGGCCCATTCTAAAACGGCATAGTTCAAACATCAAATATCACTTAATATTCTTTAATATGCACAGTGGAAACTACCTCAGAAGTTAAGTGGTCAGTTCCAGACCACTGATGCCCTTTATGAAGACATCTTCATCCATGTAGAGAAATGTTTTCATCAACCTCTCAGAAACATGCAGAAAACGTTTGAACAACTTTTCAATAATGTGTTCAGTGGTGTAATTATGTCACCCAAAATGAAAAGACTTTTAAATCCAGATTTAAGATTATGTGTCCATGAGATGTTTTTCTGTCTTCTGGTTGTACTGGTGTCTTGTCTACTCATATATTTCCACAGCAGGATCTTTTTAGTAAGTAACCTTTATTCAGCAACCAAAGGGTTCTTGTCTGACTTTATGCCAATATGTTACTCTGTGTATCATATTGAATCAGCGTATTCAAGGCTGACATGAAATTAGATTCTAATTATGGTGAAGGCAAATTCAACTTGGAGAGCTTGATATGTCCACACAGAAGTGTTTCTGTTTCTTAGTGTTTTGGTGACGGGTGTTTGTGCTGTCAATCCAAAACCTCATGAGATTTAAGGCTTCTCTGGTGTCTGAATTCGTCAGTGTACATGATTGGCTTCCCATACACCCATCCCCATTACTCCCTCTCGTCACACACACACACACACACACACACACACACACACACACACACACACACACACACACACACACACACACACACACACACACACACACACACACACACATGCACACACACGCAGACACAGAAAGCAGTTCAGTGAGG